AAAAGCTAAATTCAGATCAAGTACATCATCAGGTTTTTATTGTCTGTTTGCTTTTCTTGTTGCTTGAATGTCATGTCACATAGAGAAAATGTATAATCATCTACACTATCTATAAATATAAGCCACACTCTTTGACCTATCAGGAATTACATTTCCAGCCAATCATAATATAAACTGCCGGGATAGATAAATGGAAAAGCCAGTGTAGCATGAAGTGGTTAATTTAACAGCTCCCCGGTCGTAACTGGATATTAATCAGCCTTGCTAATGAATGAATTCATCTTGAATGACATGCAAATAACCAAGACTAATGGATCTACGGCTCATGAAATGTTACCCGCAGGTATTTGGACAGAACAGCAAGTGAACGTGCTCATCCTTCATCTCTTTCAATGAGCTATCTACTCAGATTCGCCTATTTCTCTAAGATGCTCCGAATGCATAAGTGACAATAGTGAATGTGTTTTTATTTACTGCTACAGCTGGATAAAAAAAAATACTATTTTGCAAATTTTTTGTGCAAAAGCAATAAAGAAGCTCAGTGAAACTCATCATTTTTTGCTATAAAATCCTTATTTGGCGGTACTGAGGTTCTGCCTGCAGTATAAACACGTAATTTAAAATACTCTCAAGAGGGACTTTGTCTCCAGTGACTGTTACTGTGTGCAGTGTACAATGCCAAACACAAAACAGATGTCTGAGTCTGCGGTGAGTTCAAAATACCTTTCTCTTCCTCTCCCTCAGATATGGAATGACTACAAGCTGCGATGGATACCAGCTGAGTTTGACGGGATTGAGTTCATTAGAGTTCCATCCAACAAGATCTGGAGACCTGATATTGTGCTCTACAACAAGTGAGCATGTCAACACCATCACAGTTATCTTTTTCATTAGCTCCAAACATTAATATTGCAAGTTGACGCCATGCAAAACATGAATTATGACTTTCAGGAACAAATGCCAGAATAAATTAATGGTCCTCAAACCCACCTAAAAAGATGCCAGGTTGGGTGATTGGGTAAACAAAGTGTCTGACACCAGTAAATGTCTTTTGTAATTTGTATCCTTCTCACTGTCAACATTGTTTAACCCTAAGACTTTGCTCTGACCTGAAAGCTGCACAAGTCAATATTTTTATATTAACGATAGGTCAGATGTCTACATCTCATATGGAATTCATCAGACGTGGGGCTAAAATAAGCGCACATTACTCTGCCAAAGCTAATGCCCTATCCTGTCAAGCCAAAGCAGTGTTCCCCATTAATTATCACTCAGCCTGCCATATTTTAATGTATCAGTTTCATAAGGAACGAAAAAAAATTTTTACATTTCATTATAACATAAGAGATCTCTAACTTGGTGTTTTGCTCTGTTGCTGCATTGTATAGCTGTGTGCAGCACTATTTGCAGCATGCTCTCCCTCATGCTTCATAAAGTATTTACCATCCACGCAGACAGTCAAACCTCATAGTTTAATTTGTGCACGTACCTGCAACTGGTGTGCAATGTAGCTCTCACTCTCTCGCTCACACAAGAACTTGTCGTTACCTAGTCTGTGTACCACTCAGAATCTGTTGAGCATAAGAGCAGCATTTGTGATAAACGGCAAAGTTACAAAGTTAGCAATGAGCTTTTGAAATGATTTAACCCCAAAAAGCCAAGCTATTTCCTTATCTAGAACAACAGTGAATATTGGATCACAGTCATCAAGTCACCAAAAAACAACCCTCATGCTAATGTTGCTCCCTGTCTGCATGCCTCCTGGGTAAATGGCACATTTCAACTTTATAAAAGTGTAGTATTTCAGGATCAGGTTTATTTGGACAGAAATGCATTACTTCTGCTTCCACCATAAAGTTTCTGATGACCATGGTCAGAAATTGCTCTTGTGAATCATTTAAATTTTTGTTCCCATATCATGGAAGGAATCATGAAAATATGACATAAACATCCACATTTCTGAAGCTCATTTGTATTTCATAGCCCTGTTTTAAAATCTGCAACAGATTATATTGTAATAACATTTGGATATGACTGTTTTCCAGGGTTAATTTCCACTGTGACCACTCCACTCAATGTATTTTCTCGATCTCAATTCACTTAATTGTGGATTCATGTCTTGTCTTGAGCAGTTTTGAAATTTACAATAGCCTAATGTATAATTAGTCACATTCTCTTCTGTTTTTTGAATCCTAATACTCTCGTTCCTACCACTGTAACCTCACCTTTTTATATCCTCCCCTCTCTTGTGTTCCTTGCTTCCATTTCCCCCCCATCTCCTCATTGTTTAATGTCTTTGCCTTCCTCTAACCTTTGTGTCCTATCCCAACCCCCTTGTGTCCTATCTCAACCCCCACGTACGCTTCTATCATATCGCCTCATATCTTTAATGCCATGGAAACACTTTACTCACACACACACACACGTCATATACAGCGCTGTAGGTGATTTCCTTGTGGAGGATAAGACCAAGGCTCTGTTGAAGTTTGATGGCACCATCACCTGGGTTCCTCCGGCCATTTTCAAATCCTCCTGCCCCATGGACATCACCTACTTTCCCTTTGACTATCAAAACTGCTCCATGAAGTTTGGCTCCTGGACGTATGACAAAGCCAAAATTGACCTGGTACTTATTGGGTCTAAGGTTAGTGTCAGTGTTCATGTGACTGAGTGTCCCAGTCAGATGTCTATATCATTAAATGATCTATGTGCTTCAGTTTTTCCTTCTTTCCTCCCTGTATGGACTCAGTCTTCAATATTTTAGCTTTCAGTAAATGTTAACTCCACTCATTTATACAGGTTGACTAACAATGGAGTATTCTACTCTACTAGCCTGTGAACACAACTGTTGTCTTCTATAGCTCTGGAGGAAGTTTTCTAAATAATAACCTGATGATGAAATGTCATTAGTGTCAGTTTTGGCCAACATACAAGAAAATGTGCTACAAACTGGGAGCATGGAGTTAAAAGGAAGTGGGATTTATGAGGCAGAGTGAGTTTAATGAAACATGCTAATGAGTTGCATTGTGGGAGGTGTAGGATCCAGTTTTTTTGTTTGAGTCATACAACTCTTAGCATCTCTGGTGACCTGTCCATTCAGGGTGTGCAGTGCCCTTACAGCATAAAATACAGAACGTGGATGGATGGAGATGTCACAGCCTCTGCTGGTTTGATCTGAATTGTTTTTTAAAGTCTATCTCTGTTGAGTGCTTCAGTTTTATGGAAATGTCATGCTTAGCCATGAAATTGTCCTTTTTACCATGTTTCCTTTTTAAATCCAGCAAAAGAAGACAAAAACAGATCCACATAATTGAAATTTGAAAGTTAAATGTAAAACACAGCATTCTGTTTTTTAATCATTTAGTTTTTCCATTTACTTAGAGGGTCTCTGGTGGGTAATGCGTGGGTAAACGTTTTTCTTTTCACTTCCTCTGAGATTTTTCTCAGCTTTTAAGAGCTGTAACTTAAATTTCATTTATTGTAAACTACAGTGAGCAGCACACGCGGCAACAGGTTTTGGATGCATGAGGATGTAAAATCCAAGTGAAAATTGGTTTAAATTGATTTGCATCCTTTTATACAGACAAAGTACCCAAAGAAAAAAAAACCCAACACATTGACTGACATTTTTAAGAAAACGATACATTGACCCTGGTCTCGTGTTTACATGATCTTTATCCATCCCCTAGGTGAACCTGAAAGACTTCTGGGAGAGCGGTGAGTGGGAAATCATCGATGCTCCGGGCTACAAACATGATATCAAGTACAACTGCTGCGAGGAGATCTACCCGGACATCACCTACTCCTTTTACATCCGGCGCCTGCCACTGTTCTACACCATCAACCTCATCATCCCCTGCCTCCTCATCTCTTTCCTCACAGTGCTGGTTTTCTATCTCCCATCTGACTGTGGAGAGAAGGTCACGCTCTGTATCTCCGTCCTGCTCTCCCTCACTGTGTTCCTGCTCGTTATCACCGAGACCATCCCCTCTACGTCGCTGGTCATCCCACTCATTGGAGAGTACCTGCTCTTCACAATGATCTTCGTCACCCTCAGCATCGTCATCACCGTGTTCGTGTTGAACGTACACTATCGCACGCCGATGACCCACACCATGCCGGGTTGGGTGCGCTCGGTGTTTCTCAAAGTGCTGCCGAGGATTATGCTGATGCGGAGACCGATTGATGAAGACAGCAAGGCTGGGGGGTTGGACAGCAGTGGGGAGGTAGGAGGAGCTGGAGGGGGAGGAGGAGGCGGAGGAGGGAAGAAGAAGAAGAAGAATTTAATGCAGGTAAGTGGTCCCCGGATGCTGATTAACCTTCATACTCGATCAAAGCTCTGACCTAAGCCCTACATTTGTTCAATGTACCACAGAATTCACCTTGAAGTGGTGATATTAGACTTTTACCACCTGAACATGTAGTAGTGAACCTCTTGTAACATGGAGTAGTGAAACAGCTCCCACTTTATGCAAGTGAATGTTGTCATAGACAGTCAGCGAGGGGATGAAACCCTTTGTATCCCACATGAGGTTCTCTGCACACATTAGTGTCCAAGTGTCTATAGCAAAGAGCATAATGCAAAGGCAAGTGTTGAGTAGATTTATCAATTGATAATATTAAAATAAAAAAAATGTCAATCATATCAATTGCATTGATATAAGCAAAACACTTTCCATCCTTTTCATGATAGGTTGTTTTTAGGTTAGGTTGTAAACAGTTGTTGAGCTACACAACACCCAAAATTTGAAGAGATAAGTTAACATTTCTTGAAGTTAATCAGGTTTTAATGGGCTTTTGGATAGATGCTTGGTTTAAGATCCATGGTTATCACTAGCTCAAGACATTTTCACATTTTATTTTATGAAATACAATACATCACTAAATACCTCCACAGTTATTGTTTCAAGCTCATATACGTATTAAAAACAAGTGAGGCTGGTGAGGTTGATTTTAAACGTCCTCACACGTCATAAACATGAAAACTAATCCTCTCACTTTTTACTTCTACATTTCTAAAGGCTGAGACTTTAGAAGAGGCGGTAGCAGGCTTTGTGGTGATAACATTAAAAAACAAGAGTTTCTGACCTTTTGATAGCTTGTTTGTTAAATCATAAGAAAGTCCTCTCTATCAGGTCACTATTATTGGAGTAGGATGAGCCCCTTAAATTGATCCATCTCATTTGCAAGGGGTTCTTCTACACAAATATGCAGAAAACACAAAACCATTTATAACACACGTCTGCACAAATACACTCACACACAGACATAAGCTCTACCAGGCCTAACCACTCCCACACCCTGTGGTGGAATACTGAAAGGCTTTGGGATTAAGTTACTTAACTTAATTTTTAATTCAGCTCCACCACACATACAGTAGTATTCAGTAAGTTCTTCGTGGTGAGCTCTGAGGAGGCAGAAAAGTTTTACTCACCAAAACATTGGTAAGAAAAGCATCACCTTGTAGAAGTTGTACTGCTATGATCCCACAGGTGTCTCTCAGAGATCCCACACCTCCAACTCGACTGGAAGTGCAAAACTCTTGCCAAACAGAGTTTACTTCAAGAGGAAGCAGGATGTGAAACATGAGCTGAACTCTGGTTGTGATCTCCAGCAGGTCGGAGGAGGCTCCCTCAACTGTCTGGAGTTTGGGGACAGTAAGCTGTCCTCTGTGGAGGGCTGCACTGGGAAGAAATGCCCTTGCCCGTGCCAGCATGGGAAGGAGACCCCAGAGACACCAGACAAGATCCCGCGTCAGCTGAGTCCGCAGAGCATCAACACGGTGGTGGCCTTTTCTGTGGTTTCACCTGAGATTAAACAGGCCATAGAGAGCGTCAAGTACATCGCTGAGAACATGAGGAGCCGCAACAAGGCCAAAGAGGTGAGTCCTTCCTTAACTGATCACTGAATATCAGTGGATACTATAAAAAAATCTATTGTGCGACTGAAGGTTTTTCATTTGGAGTTGCTGTTGTATTGCAAATGTCCTCAAATATGCCCAGAACGAAAGAAAGATGGACAACATGAAAGCTCTTTAAAAGTCAAGCCAGTGTCTCAAATGCCCCCTGGTGGCTTCCTGCAGTATAGGTCATAAACCCTGTCCTCTACATGTTAGTAGAGGGACATGGGCTCAACTAAAAAGTCAAAATACATGTCAAATGTATTTTTCTCAAAGATGTTTTGGCTGTTTTAGTCATTCTTATCACACATGTATATTCAAGAGTTCCTTTCTCTAGTCTAGTGGTTTTAATTGGTAATGGAGTGAAATATCATGACTAGCAGTGGAGACATGTTGTCCATCTCTATTTACAGTCTATGGAGAAGACAAACCCTCAAAGTTGGTCGGCCTTGTTCCAGACTTCCTTTTTACTTTTTACTGTTTTACTGTTTACTTCCTGAACCAGAGTCATTCTAAAATTCCATGTTACACATTGTTCAGTCTGTTTGTTAGTGTAATTTGACTATTTTGAGCTTTACCATTTTAAGAAATACAGCGGACAAACTTCAGAGCTAAGCCTCATGGGAAATATGATATTCTAGTGTTTCTAAGCTTTGCATAAATCTACAGTCGCCCATAGAAAGCAGTGCGTTGAATGTATTCATGTAAAAACACTGAGCAGCAGTGGCCTGGGAGAGCTGTGCTGTGATTTGGATCAGCCCTGCAGCAGATCCTCACCTGCTCCATAAATTAACAATAGTGTAAGTTGGAACCAAAATAATATTAGATTTGAATGGAGAGCTCACCCTCCTCTCTCTGTTGGTTATAAATACTGTGGGTGAAATCTCCCAACGGAGACCAGCAGCCTTTGATATGCAAAACCTGCGGCTCAATCAGACTTTGTCTAAACGTCTGTCACTTCTTTTGACGCTGTGGTTTGAATGTGATTATCATAGTAATTTCCTCATGTGTAAATTATGTATTAATTTTCTGCTGGTTGACAAGAAATGTTCAACTCTTTCCTCTGCTCTCCTCCTCTTATTTTTGGTCTTTCCATCCCACCTGTGTAATCCTCACGTCACCCCATCGGCTCCCACAACCTCCCACCTCCTGAGACTCTGAGGCACCTGCTGTGCGACTCCCCTCACCTGCTAATAAAGAAATATCCACTGACACTTTCCTCTGTCTTCTCACACTTCCCCCCTTTCCTCACTCACAGGTGGAGGATGACTGGAAGTACGTTGCCATGGTGATTGATAGAATCTTCCTTTGGGTGTTTGTGACCGTGTGCATCTTGGGAACCACGGGCCTCTTCATCCAGCCTCTTTTTGGATTCTTCTCATAACTGCCGACAGATCAGGGTCTGCTCCAACCCTGTGTCGACCAATCCTGAACAAGTGACTCTCAGTTCTCAGTTGACTAATCAGAAAAAAGAGTTTTGTGTCCCAAAGCACTATTTGATGTGCTGGTTTTGCTTCTTGTCTTTCTCAGAGAGCACTGACTGCAGGAGCAGGGAAGTTGAGGGGCTATTTGAATCTTTGTAGGGCTGCTCATTTTATCGAAATAAAATTGCCACAGAAAAATGCAAACACTTCTTTCTGCTTCTGGATGACCTCAATCAAGAGGATAATATAATAATATCTTCCAATAATAAATATGTTCTTTCATCTTACTATTCAGTTCAATTAGTTTAAGGAAATATTCTTTATTATGATTAATATATTCTGTGTAGATAGTCAGTTCATAGGCATTTTGCGAGTCTGTCCATTTTTTTGGAATCAATGAAATTAACAAATGTTTGATTTGAATGTGACTTAAAGGTTCAGTGTTTAAGATTTTGGTGAAAGGGATATTTGGCAGAAATTGAATATAGCATAATCCTAGTGATGTTTTCACTGGTGTGTTTAATATAAATTTTATGAATTGTTGTTTTCTTTACCATAGAATGGGTCCTTTCTATTTAAAAACTTTATATTTACATAGTGAGGGGTCCTCTCTGTGGAGGCCGAAAGACCAAACTGGACAAACTATAACCTTTTGCGTTTTCATGACAACTGAAGGGGGGGGGGAGTATCCAGCTGCAACACTTCACCTCTAGATGTCACTAAATTCTACACACTGAACCTTTAACTACACCACATTCCATAGAGTAAATTTAATGTGAGCTGGTGTTCACACTCTTGCTGCTAGTTTCATTACTGTAAGTAATGAGTACAGAGTTAAGGCTGTTTTGCTCCATTCTGCCTGATGAATCACTGGATTAAAATTTAAAAAATAAATGTGTAACAACATTGTAAAATCCAGACATGGCCAACATCAATTACTGCATCCTGACCAATAAAAGGGAGCCAAAACCATGACCTCACATCCAGTCTATAGCCTCTGTTCCAGTAGCTTCTGTAGATCAGTGCAGTTTTTCATTCAGCATTTATCTCATTGGTCTCTGAAAAACAATGTTCGTTGAGTTTTCGTTCCATTTTGTTAGATAGTCATCATCCAGTACAACTCTCACTTTGATTATAAAGTCAGTAAAATGATAGTTAGTTTCTATAAAAAACTACATCTCCATGAAAGGCTCAAGGCTTCATCTCTCTGTCCAGCCATGACATTGAGCCTGCAAACTATTGGCTTATGGAAGATGGTGTTCATTGAGGGCAGCTGAAAAGACCGAATACACAACATTTAGATTGTTTCAAACCAGTGTCGTGGTAACATCCAGTTCTATTTTGTTCCAATGCTGTATTTGTACTATATTAAGGAATTTTGAATTAGCTTTTATTACTTAAGACACAGAAACCTGAAGTTCCACGTTGCTTCTCTATACAAAACAGTTAACTGTGTTCAGTTTAAGCTCCATTTTGTAGCTATACTGCAAATTTTATAAGCTATCTCTACAGAAACGATTTCTATGACGGTCATTTTTTAAAAACTTGTACGATAAAACAGATGTCAAACAGACACATTCGGGTCTTATATTAACTTTGAGTAAGTATTGCTTTTCAGGCCTTGCAGGCAGAGTTGGATCGACAGAGATGCATATGTTAGGCTAGGATCAAAACTTGGCACATCCATTAGTTCTTCAGGACTGGAACCTGAACGTCCCACGGATGTTAGTGAAGTGACAACTTTCCACATGCAGTTGACATGAGACAAACTGTTTTTCCACATTGAACTCAAACCTCCAGCAGCTAGTTCACTCTGCCCCCTTCATCGAGCTGACTAATGACTGTCGTACCCATTCCCCGCTCTGATACATCAAGCTGCTCGCTGTCAGAGCCGATCGCTCTCTCTGCTTCTACGTGTCATTTCCAATTAGTGTTCAGATTTCTGGCACATTTGTTAACGCTTTTAACAAACAAGGGCAAGCTGTTCTTCTTTTTGTAATTAGAAACCATGTGTTTATAAATGTTCTGATTAATGTTCCACAAGGTAATTGGTTGGCCTGGTAAACATTGGATTAACTTGTACTTGATTAGTTGCTCCTGAAATAGCAGCACATTTATTAATTCATGAGAGGATTCTATCATCCAATTCCATGGCTAATGTAATCTTTTTTTTCTTGTCACTTTTGATTAAGTTTACCATTAACAACAAACATGCACTGCAAGAAAAATGCATGATGTACATTTTGATTGCTTGGACCACAAAAACATTATTCTCAGATTACAGCACAACAAAGAAACTATCCCATTTCGGTTTTATCTGTTATGTTCTGATGCATCTGAAAACTGCTGAAAGGAGAAAACACGTTTGTACAAATGATCTTTGCGGAACTGAAAAATAAAAGCATTATTTCTTCAATTTGTCTCCCTGGTAGAGGTTTGAAAATGCTCCTGTTGCCATTACGCTGAAAAACAGTCAGCAGAGGTATAATTAAATCTCCAGCTGCAACATCAAATTAAAAACCAGACATTTTAGTGCTATTCAGACATAATTTTAGTGTAAAGATAAAATGTGGCATTATCCCTGACACATAATCACAGCCAGTCACTCAGCTATAGTCCACATGTGGAAAGTTAAGTTGCATTGGTAGAGACAGTTACTGCAGGTTAAAATGAGTCAGTGATTCTCATATTTATATTTAATAACCAAAGATTATATTATCAATCAAACTAATGTCTTTTGTTTCTGTATTATTTGGGTTATATGTTAGATGTAGTATTCACAGTTTCTCTCTTCTTCATTTCCTGTCCTACACCACTCTCTTCAAATTAAATGTTTTTGTGTACTTTAGATATGTCTGAGTTCAGTTAAGGGGCTACTACAACATACCAGAATCAATACTGAACTTAAAATTTAATTAAAGCAAATGAATCGATTAAAACCAATAAATCAGCGAAAACAAGAACAGCTGGATGTAAAATAAGGTGGGTTTAAAAACTTAAAAAACCATGAAGATAACAATTAACCGAGCTGTAGAATGTTCTGTATGTTGCTGCATGTTGCAGGTGAATTATGAGAATAAATGGTTTTACTGAGCTAAGTAAAAAACTATTTGTGTGTGCGATGTAAGGGTAAAAAACCAATAAGGGCCTCACAAATAAATAAAACCCAGTGTGCTTCCCACCTAACAGAGAGAGACGTCCATCCAACCTTTGTCTTCAACTGATGCATGCATGTATAAAATTTCACCATAATCAAAAACAAAATAAAAGTCCCTCAGTCGGGATAATAATAAACTGTACATTATTAATAGTGACATTGTTTATTTAGTGTGATACGTGAACAGCTAATAAACCATATCAAATAGAGAAACATGAAATTTAGTTAATAAATAGCCACTGTCTCTATCTCCTCATTCAAGCGCACCTTCATCAAATATTACACAACATTAATGTCTGATTCCACTAATGCTCTGGATGAAGGTCTGCCTTAACAAACTGTTCTAAATGAGTTGATGAGACTGTCAGAACTGATTTAGAATGAGATGTTTGAACAGTAGCAGTGTAGACAATTTTTGTTAAAATGTGATATTATCATAGTTGACCACTAAAGGTAAAGACACAGTACATTGCCCACTGACTCACACATTGGCACCGAACGTGGGTCATAAATCTCTAATGCAGAACAGTTGCATGTGAAGGGAATTCATGGGAGACATGACTGCACACACACACACACACACACACACACACACACACACACACACACACACACACACAGGAGAGATCAGAGAGCAGTTTGACTCAGTGGATAATCTCTTCTATGGGAAGTTATGGTGCCATCAGAGCATGAAACACATGACTGTAGCCCAGAAGCTGCAGAGGCCTCTGTGATGCAGTGACAGAGCCAGAGAGTGGGGACAGAGCTACCAAGGAGGCTGCTCTAGAAGTAAAAAAGAAACTGCGCACGCTGAACTCAACAAAATGTGTTAGCATTACACAACTAATTGTTGCCCCATGGACAGACACAGAATAATATACCCAAGTTAAAGGGCCTTTCCTGTTTTGTATTCTGTTGACCCAGACATTTCAGAGATAAGACCCTCTGAGAGTTCCACCGTCTCAGTAACTGAGTGGTTCAAAAGCCTCAGGATACAGTGTGCCCCTTCTACTGGTAATTATCTGCAAATGTGTTCATGTGTTTGTGACTGTAGCCTGAACATGCACGATGGAGTAGCAGCTGCAATAAAGTCTTTACAAAGCAACACTAGATCCACACAACATAGCCCTGAGTGCTTGTTCAATAAGTCAACCAACTGAAAAAGCTCTGGATACAAATATGTGCTCTTAAATCACATGTTACCATTCATTACAGTTTCCATCAAACCAGAGCAGCTTTCCTTGATTTCAAGAACGCATAATAGACAAATATTTCATATGCGTAATGTGTGTCAGGACTGAGTCACACACGAGATGAAAGGCTTCATTTGAGATGATAACAGAATATATCTGACTGCCCCCTGTGGAGAGCAGGGATGCGAACTGCCTGAATACATTGAATTGATGAGGCTTTACTCCCAATACAAGAGCACATTCCCCTCGAGTCATGTAGTTGTTAGTCAGAAAGAAAAAAACGAACTATATTGATGACATATATGTTGAAGTGTGCTTGAAAATGGCCACAGGAAATGTCAAGTACAAGATCATGATCTTGCACAGCGTGATCAACTTTCACTGCTGAGCAATATCAGTGGGTAACGACAAAGACACGCAGGGATGATGTGAAGTCAATGACATTTTTGCATAGACAGCAGACAGGGCGGAGACAGCTCGGGGATAATGTTTTAATCATTATTACTCTGATATGAATAATTAATTTACTCTGTTTCCCATAAAGACATCATACTCTGAATATAAAACTGAGAAAAGACAATGAGTGTGTGCTGCAGGCTACAGAAGGGATGCAGTGTGTATGCCTGCACATAAAGTAGCACAAATGTACACACGCACGTTTAGGAGGGCATTGCATTGTCTAAAGACACTTAGTTATTAAGTTTGCTATGATATACAAAAAAGAAAACATCATCATGAGTTTGGCAACACATGGGTGAAACAACTCAACAAAACCAAGTATAAAAGTGGTGCACAGTAAATAACAGGTGTCTTTTTCACGGGGACACAAAGAAGTGATGAAACCAGCTTCGACACATGTAGCTCAATGTTGAATTTGTATTTTTTGGGGTTTATTTTAACAGTAACATTTGTATCATTGAACAGATGTGTCAGTGGAGTTCACCACTTTATTGTCCCCTGTTGTTAACTAAATGGGCAGAATACAATAGTGAACACACTGAATGCAAGTTTCAATCAGTATTTAACACAAATGATCAAAATGCTGTAT